TCAAATTACCTGTGGACGTCATAGAATTACCCATCCATTCTTATTCACTTATCGACTCCATACCTTCACGTTTAACATTCAATGTTTGAATTACAAGAAAGATAAGGTTCCGCTATATAATCATAACAGTTTACAATCCAAGGTTACATAATAATGATAAGGTTATAATTAACAAGGTTGGTGAAACGTTGTGTACAACCTATTACATTTTTAGGGTAGCCTTATTCTCGGGCGTTGTTACAAATGCATTACGAAATCATCGCTCAAAATAAAGGGTACTATAGAGTATAGACTAACTCATTTCAACATACACGTTACTCATAAATATTTTATTGCATTTGATTGTCCATTTCACCATACAATCTTAGGGTTAGTTTAGTATTGATGTGTTTAAAAAAAAAAAAAACTGCTTTTGTTGTGTTGTAAGAATAAATAGCTGTAAATTAAAACAGTTAGTGTTTGGTAAATTTTTTTTATAAAAGTGTTTTTAATAAAAAAAAATAGTGTTTAAGTATTTGGTAAACTTTTATATAAATATGTTATGACTATGACTGAAAATGATATGATAGTATAAATAATATAATAAAATAATTATTTATAATTTCTCCAGACATTTTTTATTCTTCGTTTCCTCCGTCGTCTTCATGTTCTTTAATTTCATCTTCTCCGTTTTCGTTTGCCCCAAAAAAACAGAAAAAATAGCATTGTTCTCAATATCGACATCATACCCACCTTTACCTCCCAAAAAAGTTAACATTTCCAATACCCATTAATTTTTTCACCCAGAATATTAATATTGGATTTTGGGTAGGTTGCATCGGGGGAAGGGGGTTGGGTTTTGGGTATGGTTGCATCGGGTGAAAGGGGGTTGGGTTTTGGGTATGGTTGCATCGGGTGAAAGGGGATTGGGTGGGATGGGGAGTTCATTGTGAGGGAGGAAATTAGGTGAAGAGGGTAGGTCGGGGTTCGAAAAGGGGTTGGACTCTTGAATCTTTCTCTCCTGCCATCTAAGCAAAGGGAATGAAGTTTTAGGTTCGTATTCTTTCTGCCTTTCTCTATCAAAGTTGTGAGAATAGTTCCAGATGATTTGTTGCCTTACAATATTTTAATTATTTACTTCCTCTGTGAGTTTTCGTCTTTAAATTTTAATTGATGGGTGCATAATTTGGTAGATTTAGTTGGTTCCGAATAATTGCTAAAACTGGAGTTGCCGACTAGAGCAAGGAAGAGGACGACGCGACCTGAGCAAGGAAGATGAAATTTTTTGTCGGTTTGATGTATCTCAGTGTCATGGAAAGACAAAAAGAGGGTAGGATCGGCATTTACAAACTATCATTAAACACACTGTTCATCAGTGTTTTCAAGAAAAAAAAACCGGCTTTTTAAAGCAGCAAATAGCTGCTTTCAGATTCAGTTTTTTCTGACCGTAACTTCTGAAATAAGCTCTTTTTTGCTCTGTTACCAAGCCTACGTGGCGTGCAGGTCGAGTAATATATGAGCTAACTTTGTCCTTCGGTTGTGTGCAGGGTGTGCCAACTCGTCGGCCGAGCTCGACCGAGAAGTAAAATATGTTGATGTTGCGTTGGGTGTGCGGTTGACTTCTGCGTCTTGCGATTGCGGCCGAGGAAGGAACACGTCTCGACCTTCGGGTTCTAAAGCCTGAAGACAAGGCTGCTAACTTAGCGAAGTTCAATATCAAATTCGGCTTCCAATGTGCCGAATGTAGTAACTCGTAACACCTTACTTCGCCGAGAAGGCTGATGAGATGACCTCGACCAACAAGGATTCGGAAATCCTTCTCGACCGAGACTTGGATAGGTAACCAGTTGGCCTTGACGCAATGCTATTTATGCCAACTAAAGATGCTGCGAGATCGGTTGATTCTATGGCGACAGTGCTGTTTATGCCAATTGAAGATATCACCGGTTGCCTCCACAGTGCTGTTTCAATGTTTATGCCAACTGAAGATGTGTCGGCGAAAAAGAAAATAAAAAAAATCTCAAAGTTGTTGAGAGAGTTTGCGCAGAGCAGTTTTGTGTGTTGAATTGGAGGTCCTGATGCGTTTCTCATGTTTCTGTATTTATAGCATATTTTTACCTCTGCACGGCCTAATAATTAAGTAGAGTTCATCTGCAACTCAAACTAATGCAACTGATCCGTGCCATAGGCTAAGGCCTATCCCCCCTTTTTAGGCTTGGTATCACATCACCACAAATAAACTAATTTATCTCCATAAAATAAACAAATTTATATCCATGCAATCACCTCACCAATCAAATCCATCATGTATATTTACCCTGACAAAGACCACATGCATGCATGATGATCCCTTCATCAGCTTAAACTCTAAAAAACAATTGATGAAATTCATCATCATATCTCAAGACAATGCTACGTGCTTCAACCCTGTCCATGAATTCAAAGTCCATTTGGATTGTACCATCCACATCAAACACATCACATATTAAGTTTAAATATCCTAGTTATTATTAAGAGATAATATTATGATTAAAATCACAATATCATTCCTCAATACTAACTAAAAATCGTTTTAACCACTTTATCATCCACCGGCCTAAAATCCTGCTCATTCAACGGTTTTGAGGATGCGTTTGGTACGTGGGACGGGACGGGACAGAACGGGACGAGGCGTTCCGTCCCGCGTTTGGTATGCCAAAAATGGGTGGAACGCGCTGTTCCACGGGACAGAAATTGGGTGTTTTTGCATCCCGTTCCCCCCTGGAATGGGTTGTTGCACGTATGTGGAACACAAAAATTCCACTATCTACCCTCCCTCTCTCTCCCACAGCCTCCCTCTCCCGTAGCTTCGTTACACTCCCTCTCTCCTGTAGCCTCCTCCTCCACCATAAACCCAGCAACCCAAATGCTTCGTTACCCAAACGTAGTTTCGTTACCCATCAACCCAGATGAATTCGAGCTTGATTTCGGGCTTTCCAGGCTGAGTCGGAGACGAATCCGCTGAAATACCGGCAAAATAGACTGAAACGCACTTCCTTCTAGGGAAAAACTCGGCGTTTGCACTGGTCGGAACGACGCGGCGTTTGCGAATTGTAGGGAAATCATAATTTGATGCAGCTCAGTCCACACTCGCCTGCCTTAACCTTTTCATATCGTTGGTTTTAAATTGGGGAAAAATAATTTGATTTACTGGAATTGAAGAGAAAGATAATGAAATGAAAAGAAAGTATGGGTTTGATTTACTGAGTTTGATTTTTACTGGGAGATCTGAGCATGTGGGAGAGAGAGAGTCAAATGGAAGAAGAGAAAGCAGAGAAACGGGAGAGAGAGGGTCAAATAAAAAGGGTAAGTTAGTCATTTAATCCAGTTTCGTTCTGTTCCATCTTGTCAGTACCAAACATGACATGAATCTTTGTTTCGTTCCGTCCTGTCCCGTCCCGTACCGTCCCGTCCCGTTCCGTCTGCGTACCAAACGCTACTTGATTGCACGGGCTGATGATGTAAAATTGGATCCAAACAGTTATCAAACACAATTTTCAGGCCAGCTTTTTTTTACCCCTACTTTAAAACAAATTTAAACAGTACCAAACTGGTACTTAATCGTATCAAATAAAATCTTAAAGAACAAAAAGAATGGCCATTTTCTGGAATAATTTTTTATGATAAAAAGTTGCTTTTAAATTGATATACATACATGAAACCTAGTCGTGTGTACATATATCACATGCTGAACGAACCGCCAGATTGAGATCCACATATTAAATTAAGTACAAGATAGAATCAAACAGCGTAGTGGCCCTCTTTTGGCCGAGTCAAACTTTAAAGGACATATTCATTTGGCACCAAATGTAAAACCACATCAAATGTTTATATTCTGAACTTTGATTTATTCAACTTAGAGGACCTTTTGGTTTTGATAATTGATAAAGACAATTATATGTTTATCCTCTTTTATTCACTAATTTTTTCTTCCTCACCAAGTTGTTATAAAAACTTGTGAGTTGACCAAGTTGGCACCTCATTCCTCTCTTTCTGTGTTTTGTTCACATCCCAACCTTTTATTTAAGAATAAATAAATTCCTCCAGTTTAATCAAAAGCTTGAATTATTGGAACCAAAAAACAAAGAAAAAGCTTGAATATGACATGCTAACAGATATTGACCAGCCGAAACTGTCCCCCTTCGGCCCGCCTGCCCCAATGCCATAGATCATCTCATCAGCCCCACTCAAATTGATAGACCGAGGGACGGCAGAGATTTTTTTGTCATTTCCTTTTAAGCTGATTTTTTGCCGAAAAATAATTACAATGATTACATCAACCCCCTACAAATAATCTACCATCACCATAAAAATTTCATATTAGCAATCATTCAATCTTTTAATTTTCATTTAAAAATCCTTCACACAAAAAATCATTTAAATTGAAGATCGTTTAGTCATTCATATGTATTAAACTAAATAAATGATATAGGTAAAAAAAGTAAAGTTGATTAGGATGTAATCAAAAGTTGTGAGTCTAACATTTTTATATTCATTGTAATTCCAAAACCATAGGACTGTAGAATAAGCAATTTTCTGTATAGGCTTGATTCTTGGATATAGATTGATCCCACGTTGTATATAACCTATGCATCACTTTAATGTTTTTATTTATTTATTTATTTTTTTAAACAAACGATAATATCAACACTAAGGAGTTGGGATAGTAGGCTAAGTCTTACAATAAATTTGGCATAATAATGTAGTCCAATTTTGCCTTTGACAATAATCGAACTTAAGACATCTCACTTACAAGTGAAGAATAATACTATTAGACTATAGTACTAAGTGATCACTTCAATATTTTTTTAATATACAATTTCATCCTTTTCCACATTACACGTTATAAAGAATATGAAGTAAAAGTTTATGTAATGTGCAATTTTTAATAGTCACACAGAAATGATAATTAAATAAGAAAATGTTCTAACTTTCGGTACTTCAGCTGGAACCAATCCCTATTCGGATTATGGAAACAAAAGAAGTGCAACCCCAAATGAGGCATAAACTTTATTCTCGTAAATTGAATATTTGTCGGATTATGGAAACAAAAGAAGTACAAACCCAACTGAGGCATAAACTTTATTCTCGTAAACTGAATTAAAATTTACACAAATATTAAGTCAACAACATTTCATTTTACTTTAGAGTGGTTGACCATGACCCTTGGAATTTATTTAAAAATTAAATTCTGGGAGTACGCTAGAAACCGCTAACTGTAAATCCTCCATCGATGCTAATGACTTGTCCAGTTATGTAAGAAGCAGCCGGAAGGCAAAGGAAAGTCACCAACGATGAAACTTCATTAGGCTGTGCAGGGCGGCAGATGGGAGTTCGACCTATTAGCCGTCTGTAATCATCCGAATGGTCATCCTGATCATGCAATCAAACCTTAAAATATTAGTTTGTGAATGAAAATCTAGAGACATACATAAGATAAGGTGTGTACAAGGAAAAAGAAGTGTACATAAATCACTTTCCTCAGGCAAGTACAAAACACAAGGTTTTAAAAGAATTTGGAACTCACTGGATTCTTTTTGTGAGAACTTCAGAAATCTGTGAATCGTATCCGTTTATCGTATATTGTATAGTTAAAAATTATTTTAAATTATTTTATTTAAAATTAAACACATAGTACTTGACAAAACTGACCACACGATGTATGATGAATGAATACGATTCACAGATCCTCAAGATCTTCACAAAAAGGATCAAGTGAGGATCCTATTGGGTTTTAAAAAATCATATATAGGTGGCCGAATAGGGTTAGGTACTTACAGAGTCGGGTTTAACTCCGGTGTTGACAGCCCATGGAGCCACAGAGTTTGTGCGAATGTTGTCTTTTGCCCATTCACATGCCAAATTCTTAACAATCTGGATCACTGCTCCTGTAACATGGCAATAACAAAATTATTGAAAGGCTTTTTAGGTGATGATTTATGTTGCACAGATACAGACTTATTACAGATACAGACTTGGGAATGCATAGATGACACCGTAAGTTGTGAAAGACGGAAATGGTCGAGTTTGACGCATTCATTTTCTTAATCGAAAGTACTTACCCTTGGTTGCTGCATAGGCAGATGTTTTAGGTAGAGCTTTCATACCACCAACTGAGGAGACAAATACTATACTTGCATTTCCTGAGGCCTTCAAGAGAGGGTGTGCAAGTTGGCAAAGATGGAAGGGAGATTCTACATTGGTGCTCATCATAGTTGAGAAATCTTCTAAAGTATAATCTGTAGCATTCCTAAGAGTAACTGTTCCAGCATTATTTACCTGCACCAAAATAAATTTCATATCAAACTGAGGCTAGTTAACCACTACTTGGCGTTTCGGTCTAATAAGGTAGGAGAAATGAGACAAGTACACAACCACACGATTTCCCTGTCCAATTATACATTGCTATGTGTAAATTTGTACTCACATAACAATACATTACTGGAACAAAGTACTACGACGATGATGAATTTGTCCCATGTAAGTTTCACTTAATACATGTGTAACTTTTAAGGCTGGAGAAGAATTGGGCGTCATTTATAGCAAAGTCAAACCCCATCTTTATCTTTGTTCTTCTAAGCTCTAGCCTTAATATAATAGTCAGTTAAAAGAAAGTTAGAGAGAAAGAAGATAACAACGGCAGTGAAATAAAACTTACAAGAATGTTAAGCTTGCCATCAAAAACAGATGAGACAGTCCTTATGAGCTCCTCCCTCTGATCTTTAGATGTGAGATCACAAACTGAGCCACTCACTTCAAACCCCTTACTCTTCCACTCTTGAATCCTCTCATGGAGCAGTTCTCCGTTTCGAGCGCACATATGTACGGTTGCCCCAAGTCCTGCAAGCTCCTCTACAACGGCAAATCTAATACATGAAGAAAAACTTGAGTGCAAAAACAGAAATAGCCATATGAGATTTGAGAGATGAAGATTACTAACCCAATGCCTTTGGTTCCACCTGTAACAAGTGCTGTTCTACCTTTTAGAGACCACCTTTGGCTGTCGAAACTTGCCATTTTATTTTGTTTTGCAAGTAATTTGTCACCTTACAGTGATTATATAAAAGGAAAAACGCTTAATAGTTCAGAATCAACTGAAAAGTTGGTGACTCGAATCTATCAAAGCTGTCTGTTTATATACAACTAGCCTATCCATACATTTTGTTTGTGAAGCAATATTTTATTAATTTTAATATATATATATATATATATATATATATATGTATGTATATATATGTACACATTATCAGTAAAGAATATTCATTAGAGAGCAAAACCACGAGTACAACTAGTTCCATCAAATATGGGTATTTATCTACCAATTCCTAAACTAGTGACCGCATCAACAAGGAAATTGAAGTCTAAAAAATTACGATTCCAAGAGATGTAGGGAAGAAAAAAAAAACAGCAAAATTTAATTTGTATGAAATTATATTACTATGTGATTTTATTTACTAATACAAGATGAAATTGTCTTTTCACCTAATTAACAAATAGAGTTTTGTTAGTTTAGATATAATGTTTTTTTGAGCAGGCATACCGAATGATTGATATTAAATTTTTTAAAATGACATCGGATCGAATTAACAACTGGCCACGTTCTCTGTCAAACTATTATATTTGACATGCATATTTCATTTGTCCATTAAGTATATTGATGTGGGACACTCATGCTCGTCAAAATATTGATAAGCTTGACTTTAATATATTCAATTGAATTTTGGACTAGAAATTGAGATTACCTTAACATGGAAATATATGGTTTTGCACATGATTCTTGGGTTCCATGTTTGATTAAACTTCAAGAATAAATACACATAATAAATGAATAAAAATGATTTTCAGACTTTTTTTCCTTACATCACGGTGTATTTTTAGCTATCAAATTGAAGGAATCACAAAAGAATCAATTAACAAAAGTACGTAGAAGGAGAAAGATATGTAAAAATCATATCCCATCTTTGACTTTGTGGGATACCGCAAACTGGGAATGTGAAATCGCATTATTATGCATCTTGGACTAGGTAAATTGGTTGTGCACTACATTTTAACTTGACAAAACAAGTAAAAAGTACTGGTGCAAGAAATGAGAAACGGTGCTTTCATATGATTCAGCATTTTATACATATACAATTTTGATATTTTGTAGCAGCAACCAAGTTAGTAAAGAACACAATTTTTGTAGCAACTAGGTTTACTTTGTCATTTAATTCGAATTTAAAACATAGAGAAAAACAAAGAAACCAAGATCAGCGTTCAAAAAAAGATTTGGTCCACCATTGAACATATCGGAAGAAGCATCGTGACACGTCCAAGAATTTCAATAAAATTAGCTCAAATGTATCCTTTTTTTTTCAAGGACGGCCTGATGAGGTGGTTCTAAAATTAAGTTATTCGTTGTCCTGCTGTCATGATTGGTGCTAGTATGGAAAGGTACATCTACCAGTGAGTTCGGCGTATAATCTCCTTTTATTTGTGTGGTGGGAGGTGGATTGACTCTACTTGAGATTGTGTATGGAAATTGGATGTGCCCGCTAAGTTGAAAGTGCTTAATTGGTCGGTTAGCAAGGAGAATCTGCTCTCTAATGAATAGAGGGGGAGAAAATGTAGAAAACAATTAGTTGTTTCATGTATTCTCAAAGGGAAGTGTTATTGGCACTTTAAAAATTTCATTCTACACTCATAACAAGTGTATTTTTCTTTTTAAATATAGAAAGTTTGGAGTATATAATAAGAAATTTGGAGTGCCGAGAACAATTCCATTCTCATACATATATTTTGGAAATTTGATGTGGAGGATAACGAGTATTAAATATGCCATGAAACCAATTGTTATAAACAAATAGAAAGAATTGAACAAATGATTGGTCTGTATTTACCTTGAATTTGAGATATTCGATGACTTGACTGTGAGTAAGGATTTTATGTCATTCAAAATCCGTTGTTATGAAAATATTCTTCATAATGAAAATAATGAATTCAAAATAATGATGCAAATATAATTTGAAAATAAGTTTTATTGTAAAACTTACACTGGAACTTACAATTGACTTACTGATGATTGAGTCAGCAAATAAGAAAATGACTGAAAAAAATGATATTGGTGCACGCAGGCATCCTTGACATTTGAAAATTAAAAGTGTTTACAATTTGATTTCTTTGGGTACAGTGTGAACTCAAAGAAAACTTTTACTAAGAAATTGTGGAAATTCCCAACTTAAAACTTTCTCCTCCGTAGTCCACTTCTTATAGACTTGGAAAAAGGTATTGGAAGACTTGCTTTTTACTATTTGATGAATGATGACTTGCTTTCACTATTGATGAACATTGAAATTTGTTTCACTATTGATGAACATTGAAATTTGTTGGAATAACTGCTTTTACTGTGGAGTTATTCAATCATCCATCTCGTGCTTCCATAGTAAAAGCAGCAACTATTCCCATAAATTTCATTGTTCATGAAATAGTAAAAAGTAAGTCTTCAAATACTTTTTTCCAAGTCTATAAGAAGTGGACTACGAAGGAGAAAGTTTTAAGTTGGGAATTTCCACAATTTCTCAGTAAAAGCTTTCTTTGAGTTTACACTGTACCTAATGAAATCAAATTGTAAACACTTTTAATATTCAAATGTCAAGGATGCCTGCGTGCACCAATATCCTTTTCATCAATCATTTTCTTATTTGCTGACTTAATCATTAGTAAGTCAATTGTAAGTTCCAGTGTAAGTTTTGCAATAAAACTTATTTTCAAATTATATTTGCATCATTATTTTGAATTCATAAGTTCTGCCTCATTTGTTATATCATGTGTAGATAATTTTTGCAAACAAATTATTGAAACCATGTATTCTAGAGAACAACTCTTTGGCAATATGAAAAGAAAAAAAAAGGCACAAGATAACGAAATTGCCGAAAGTTTAATAGGATCTCTTAATAATTTTTTTTTCTACATAAAATAAGTCGGTTGAAAATTTGATAGAAAATGATGTTGGTGAAGAGTTACAAAATGTTGGTGAAGAGGCCTAGCCCCCCAACTTTGATTGGGTTCCAGCCATCACTAAATATTTTTTTAAACATATGTTTCCGTATTAAAAAATGACACATTTTGAGCTTTCACACTGGATACCAAAAAACTCTGGACTGGCTCTGCTTCCTGCATGCCATACTAAATCTATTATTCATATTCTCAGGGATTACTACAGAGCTAGGTGTTTTGGGAGATTATGGGTATCCCTGGGCAACTACGCAATTTGTTTATTCTTGGTATTCAAGATTGGATGATGGCTAATCTAAAGACAAGAGCAAATGGGACTAATGGCTATGACTAGAATACTTCTTTCATTTTTACATGTTGGTTTGTGTGGAAGTGGAAGAATTAACATGTTTTTTTTAATGATTTTATCATGGCTTTGTATCCAATTGTCTATAATTTTAAGAGTTGTTTCTACTTAAAGTGTCGATTCATTCTTCTAATAAACCTAATGCAAGGTTGATCTTCATTACTTGGGAACCTCTTGATACTGTTTAGTATAATCTTAATGTTGATGGTTCAAGAAGGTTTTCTTCCGGTCACATTGGTGCAAGTGGAGTGCTTAGAGATCATAATGGTGATTGGCTGGGAGGGCCTTCTGCTAATTTGGGAAAAAGGGATATTGTAACACCCCGCCCTGAAATTTTTTATTTTCGGCAATAATTATCAATGATATGCCATTAATTTCCTTAAGTTCCTTAATTCCACACGTTCTATAACCTAAATTCTCTTAGCAAAGCATAACACTTATATTTGTCAATTTACTACCTTTACTACACTTAAATAAATTTACGATCTAAGAATAATTCTCAACTAAAAATAAAATTCTCGATTATTTAAGGCTGCATCTAACACTGTTAGACTGCCTACGTACTCTTGAGCGGGATCAAGCCTCTCGTAGTTCACATACACTTCCCATTAACTTTAACATCTTAGTGACCAACAATCACAAATTCAGTCCAAACACTTTCACCCACCATGTGAAATATAAACTATGGATTCAGAACATCAAAATTAGCATGAAAAATGGCAGTCGGCCCACTGGCCAGGCGCCGCAACACGAGCCGCCACGGGTGGCAGTCGGCCGCCTTGACTAATTGGAAAATCAACTTTTTCCAAAAAATTCCAAATTTTACAGTCAAGTAGATCTTAATGAGTAGAACAACTTTCATACCTGTGGCCAAAGCCAAATTGGATGGAAAACACCTCAAATTGTCCACGAACCGTCGGAACCCTTATTTTTGGGTGTTCTTGATTTGGCTCCAAAACAACTCTGATGTCCTAACCAAATCATGGGCTTTGTTCCTGGGTTTAAGGAGAGTGTTTTGGTAGTGGAAATGGAAAGAGTTAGTTTCAGATCGTGGCGAAGTTAAGCCTAATCCGTGCACCCCTCTGTACGGATTTCATCCAAAATCCACCCAATTTGCCTACATTTTCGAACGAAAATGGAAGCGAGATCGATGTTTCTCAAGGTAAGGATCATTTTGACACCAACCTTGTCATCAACGGTGACCAGATTTGGGAGATTACGCCGGGTCGGGTCACGGGTTGGGGAAAACCCCGGTTTCCCCATCTTTCTCCCCTTTCTCTCCTTTCCTCTAGTCCTCCCTCTCATTGGTCCTCCTCTTTCTTATTTCTCCTCGCCTTTTAATCCCTGACGTGCACATGGCTGATTAGATTTCTCCAGAAATCTGGAGCCTTTCAAATTAATGACCAATTTACCATTTTGTCCCTAACTTTAAACGTTAATAACCCTTTCGTTATAAATCCGTTTCACGAACGGTTTGTGCTCACGTGTTTGTGAGGTCGAGCTTTAATCTCAAATATAAATTATGACCTAAAAAGGTCGACGGATTTTAAATAATTAATTTCCAACTTCAAACTTCGTAACTAGTTTAATTTAAAACTAGATTCAAATAAATTAATATAATTTCTCAATGAACAACATAAAATCTCTATAACACTTTACGTAACTTATAATAATTTTCGGAAACAAAACTTTAAAATTTCCCAATTCTATTTCCATAATCATAAATCGATTTATTTTCGATTTTTCCCACATATTCATAATTATGAATAACTA